AAATCAGGACAGAAAAATGTAGATTACACAAAGATAGCAAAAATATTTTATTCGGAGGGGGGAGAGTAGAGGGATTATTTGTGAAATATAAACTCTCATTTTGTGATAAGATCTCTTTCAAAAAATTCTAACGGCAACTCCAAGCAATTAAGGGAACTGTGAGAACAAAGGCAGGTTCTGGACTAATCCAATTTAGTAATCAGCGTCCTCCCGGTAGAGGCTCCTTAGACCCCCGTTCTCCAAGGGCGACCAGTATATACGGGAAATGGGAAGGACGAGTTCGTACCGTTTAACTGAAAAAATGTGATGTTCCAAATCTCAACAACATTCCCTTTCTTTAAAGGTCTCCATTTTAAATACCACAAATATAAAAACAAAAAAAGGGGTATCAAATGCTTCGCCGCACTCCCCTCCCCCCATCCGTTATTTCGCCGCAAAATTTTTTTAATTAAAAAAAATAGAGAAAGAAAAAGATCCCTGGCGGAGGGGGGCGTGCACCTCAAAGAATGTGAACTTCAATGGGGAGCGGATGTTGGCTGCGGCAGGGGGTGGAAGCAGACGAGGAAGCCAGGAGAAAGGGGCCCCGAGCCTCTTCGACCCTCCCCTCCCCCGGCCCGCGCGCCGCCGCCGCCAGGGTCCTCCCCGAGCGCCTGCGGCCTCCTCGCGTAGACCTGGAGCCCCTTCCCTGGACTTACCGGGTATCGTCGGCCACATTCCTTACGAACAGAGACGTGTTCGGGGGGCGCAGGTAGCGGGACATGACGACTGCGTGAGTCTCGGCAGGAGCACTAACGGGCTCAACAAACCGTCCACAGCTCCAGCACTGAATCCTCACACACACTGCCAGAGGGCTCCGCTACGGCAACTGCCTCTTATCGCGAGACTTCACTCCCGCCTCCACTGCCCCACCCCCTACCTGGGCGCCGCGCCGGGACTGGCGACGGTCCTTTCCCGCGAGATCTTTCGCGCGCCTGCGCATGCGGGTGGCTGGGATACGTGCTGCAGCCAGGTTCTCATTCATTGGCCGCTCGCGCCGCCTCCTCCCTTCCCCCCAGCGCGCGTTTTCTTTCTTTAATGCCGTTTTTCCCGCCCTTACATTCCTTTCCTCCCTGCCCCCTCCACCAAGTCAGAAAGCATATATATAGATATAGATACATTTTTTTACCCCCATGCCAAACTTTACAGTTATTACTAACTGAACGGAGTTTTAGACATTATAATTCGGAGAGGCCACCATATCATACGATTTCCTCCGTGGTCCAAGTTATGCGCTGGCTTTTATTAGATCACTGACCAGCAGGAGAAGAATTTACAGCTTCTCCGACTGAGTTGTGAGAGGGGAGTTATATGTGTCCTTGGAAGGGGATGGGCCTGTCTCTCCCTCGCTGTCTGCACTCCCTGGGCGCACTCCCCGAGGGCTTTTATCCAGGCTGCCCCTCGCCCAGACCTTTCATGGCCAATTTCTCCACTCTCCACGCTGTTTCCTTCTGATTTTACGCATTCTCAACCTTTTGGTTGCAACTCAAACTTCACATCTTAGTCTCAGTTGTCAACTACAGCGTATCGTATTTCAGTGGTCCTCCAACTTTTCGGTTTCAGAACCCCTTTACAAAGGATTTACATAACTCTGTGACAACTTACGGAAGACTCCAAAGAGCTTTGTTTATGAGGGTTATAGTTATTAATATTTACTGAATTAGAATTTAAAATTATGAAAATTTGGACACAACACACAAGCAGACCTTGCACTACCTTTCAACACATATCATATAGCCCCTGGAAAACTCCACTCTGCATTTGTTAGAGAAAATGGCAAATAGTGTAGTATAGTTTTGACCTTGGAGATCACCTTGAAAGGGTCCTGGGACCCCTCCCAGACCACAGTTAAGGAACCATTCTCTGCTCTTATCAGACTCCATTTTTGGAGCTGAAGGGATCACCTTTCAGAATGCCTCTGGCATGCAGCGCACTACCACGCAGATAGCAGGGACACAGTCCTGTTTAATTAAATGAGCTTTTAAAAGCAGTATTTTTGTATCCATCAGCATCCAAAGCAGTCAAGTGGTTTGACATGGATGATGATAGTCTACTAGTATTGTATTCTAAGGAGCTATTGTTTTTCTACATTATGTTTTCCAAGGTTTGGACACAATTTATTAAAACATTTACTGATTACCTAGTATGTCTCAGGCATTGTGCTAGATGCTGGAAGTTCAGTGATGTAAAACATGGAGCTTGTTTTCATAGAAAATAAGTACGTAAACAACGAAAATAATAGCAGATTTGTAGTATGAGACAGTAATATGATAGGCTTGGGTTTTTAAAAGATTTTTTCCCCAAAACAGGTTTGCACAGTGTTAACTTCAAGAACGAATATACCTGCTAAGGACTCCTGATGGTTAATTGAGCTCAGACTCATAGAGTCTAGCAGCCTTGCTGACAGGGTCTCTCACAAAAACGCTGCATTTTAGGGAAAAGGCACAGATTATGTTGCCAAACCGTGTGTACTGCTTTCCTCTCTCCGAGCCGACCCTTATAAAGGAGTTCTTGAAATCTCTTTTGACCAATTGGGAGAGACCTGCCGCATACAATCAGAGCTGTACAAATATATCCTCCTTTGCATCTTTTTTTAAAAAAATATATTTTATTGGTTTTTTACAGAGAGGAAGGGAGAGAGATAGAGAGTCAGAAACATTGATCAGCTGCCTCCTGCACATCCCTCAGTCTGCAAGCTGATGCTCTATCCACTGAGCCAAACCGGCTTCGGCCCTCCTTTGCATCTTTATTAACCAATCTATAACCACCAATCAGGATGCTCAAAGCTGACCAATCATGACAGTGCTATTTGGATCAATAAAACTGCACATTTGGATTCCTCATTTGCATAAAAATGAACCAGGGAGGGTACTTGTAAAAGTACCTTTGTCTCAGGGGAGCGCACTTTCCGTTTCCAAACTGCTCATCTGATTAGAGTTTCTTGCTCGACACTGTCTCAGTTTCCGTGGGCAAACAATCAGTTAGAAGCATGCTCTTTAAATTTGTTTAATAAGACATGCCTGGCATTCCCTATACTGTATACCTTCTTACTCTAATATGTAGACCGAGGAGAACTCAGTGTTCCTGTTTACAGATTCCTTACTTGTGGGTTGGAAACTCTGGGGTACACAGAGTTTATTCACCTATGTCTCCCATTAGCTCTGCTCTGTGGTGAATTCACTGCTAATGCACACATTTTTTAAAATCATATTCCTTAGATGATCTATTCTTGCACATAGATTGCTACCTTGAATCTGTTTAAGGTAAAATCACTTGTTATATCTTAGGCTCATTTCAATGTCTTAAAATAACATCTTCCTCCAGTTGTAAATGACTTGTTTATTATTAAAATTTTGGAAATAAAGAAAACAAACATCACCTGTGACTCCACCCCTCAGAACTAATTACAGTACTATTAAGACTTTTATATATTCCTATGCATTTATATAATTGTTAAAATTGAATACATACCGTTTTATAATGTGTTTTTCCCACCAAACATTTTATCCAGAATATTTTTTTCTGGCCATTAATAGTTTTAATAAATGTAATTTTTAATAGCCCTGTATCAATTATATATTGGGTTCAGTTGCCAGTAACAAAAATCTGAAGTAATAATCTTGATTATGATAACTAACACTTATTGAGCATTTAAATACCAAGCACTTTTCTCACCAAGGAACAAGAGAAACAATTCAAGAATTGTAATAGAATGTTGTATGGCTTTAGAGGTCATTTCCCTCATGGTTTTAGCTTTTTTTTTTTTTTTAAGTCACACATATTGATCCTCACACGAAACCTATGAGCTAGGCTATTATTATTCATCTATATTTTATAGACGAGGAAACAGGTTTACAGAGTGGTCTAAACAAATGAGTTTCACTTGTTTATCTATTTTTTAATATAATGATAAATCAGGAATAGGGAGTACAGGACTGATATGGAAGCTTCAGGATATCCGGGCTTCCCTTCTTTCCTTCTTCCCCATTATTCCCAGCTCTGACATCTATACTCACATTGCCTCATGGTCATAAAATGGCCGCTGGACCTGTGGGCATTGTGTCTACAGCTGAGGGAAAAAGGGTTAGTATAAAGTTTGAAAAGCATATGCTAGGACTTCTGGTCAAGATGGCAGCATCGACTCCATTGGCTCTCCCAGGTCACCAGCTTGCCAAACACAGATTTTAGGTCTTCTCACCTCTATAATCATGTAGTCAATTCCTTAAAATAAATTCATTTATATAATCAATCAATCAATCAATCGCGCACACACGCATCCTATTGGTTCTGTTTCTCTGGAAAACCTAACACATATGGCTACACTACAATTTGTTTACCCATTCACCTCTTGCTGGATATTTGTTTCAGGTTTGGGGCCATTATAAATGAAATTTTCATGAACATCAGTGCCACAATCTTTTTGTGAATATATGTTTTCAGCTCTTATAAGTGAATAGAAGTGGAGTTTCTAGGTCGTATGGTAGGTCCTCCAGAAAACAGGTGCCAGGATGGAGTGAGAGATGCAAGACATTTCTTTGGGTTAATGCCCACAAAGTATGAAAGGGAAAAGGAGCAGGAGAAGGGAGTGTCTTCAGACCAGATTTGACCCTGTCAACATAGAGAAGGAAGCAAGGAAGATTGGTTAGGAAGAACCTCCTATTTTAGTACAGCTCTGAGAAAGTTTCACCAGCTCAACGGGGAGCCCTGGCATAAAGATCACCCATGGAGAGAGTCCTGTGTTGGGCAAGAATGGCCAGGCCCTAGCACAGTCTTTGGTTGGACCCGCCTTGGGAAGAGCATGGCCTCAGCTCAGATGCTGCAGTGGATCCTGAAGGCGCTGCAGCTGAGACTGTAAGCTAACTACACGCCTTGTGGTAGCGTCACTCTTGAAGGGAGATCTAAGGGGCACACTTCCATGGTGGCCAAAGTCCATACCAAGCTTGCTCTGGGTAGATCCCCTTATTCTTATATACTGGGAGTAGTTCTGTTGGGTCTCTCTAAGGGGAAAACTCAGAAGAGGGAGATCATTGGGATGAACTACAGCCCCTGTAGCTGCAGTTGGGCTCGGGCCACAACTAGCACTCATCCTCTCCCTCTTCTACTATCCTCACTTTCTACAGTCGCTTCTTAAATCTTGATAGCTTACCAGTGATGGTCTGAGCCCCTGGCCACCATGCCCTTCTCAGATCAGGGTTGCCTGAGAAGGGCACTTGTCCATTCATGTACAATCATCAAAGAATATCAAGAGGAGCTTAACTAGATCACCTGGGTTCCACATATATTCCTCCCAAACCCCATAAAATAACAATTACCCCACCTCTTCCTGTTGATAGGGTCAACAGTGGCCAGTTATGAGGAATCCTGTCAGGTGCTCAGCATTAATATTTGTACCTTGGCAGTAGCAAAATCAGCATTGGTAAGGGGGAATCTGTCCCAGGAGTCAGAAAACTATAGCACCTTGGGTCAAACTGGGCTTACAGCCCGTTTTTGTATGGTCCACATACTAAGAACAGGTTTTATATTATTAAATGGTTGAAAAAAATAAAAAAGATTAATATTTATCAACTTATTATCTGGCTCCCTTTGGTGAATGTCAGTTTTTTAAAAGTAGAGACTTTGTTTTATTCATGCAGGCCAGTCTTACCCCACCAAAGTGCAGTAGGTCCTCGGGTTACGTCTGAGATACATTCCCACGGCGATTTTCGCCGTAAGTCGAAACCCACCTACATAAGCACCTACATCACTCACATGGAGCACATACACAAAAGTAATGATGTGAAACAGTAAAAAAATTTAAAAGAAAGATAACAATTCCTGACCTTTACTTGTGGTAAATAAATAATAAAAAACATAAAGTGCGTATGTACATACGTTAAAATGACGGAACTTTTTTTTTT